GTATGCCTGTATATGATGTATAGACTTCTCTTAGATCAAAATAAATTTTAGTTGAGTCAATGGTATTCGCTATTGGTTTAAGAAAAGTGTCTCTTTAATCAAGAAATGTCCCTTTTCAATCAAGAATTTTTGCATGAATCAAAGAGACTATTGTTCTTGTAGCAAGAACTTCTTTGCATAATAATTTTGGGTCAAGAGTGAAATACTTTGGACAGATAGATTCTTCTATTCTCTAAAGCAATTTTTTAAAGCTTAAGAAAAGAGAGTTAATGCTTTGGGCAAAGAAACGTCGTTCTTGGCCGTATTGAAAAGCGCCAATCTTTTGGGTCAAAGTCATATTCATTTCGACTGAGAGATCCTTTTTTTCAGTGTATAGATACTGTTGAGTTCAAAGATCCAGGGTAGTAAAAATGAAGAAAATAGAGAGTCAATAGAAGGTTCAAAATAGTCGCTTTTGGATATGCATGTTAAAAAACTTCTAAATATGGATGTTGAAGCTTCCAATGAAAGAATTTGAAGACACCAAATGTTCATTAATTTATCCTGTATGCATTAATGTCAAGAAGAAGGATTTTATATAAGCCGCATCAGCTGCTGGGCCATTTAGCGGCACTGATCAAATTAAAGTTAGATTAAACTAAATTAATGAACCCAAACCCGATGCCCTAATAAATTGGAACAAAGAATGTAGGTTATTAGCATCAAGAACGGAAGCCAGATCGCCATTCAGACCAAATGATTGTCTTAAGTTATTGAAGGAGGGATATTCTATTAGGAGGTGGCACACTATTAGGAGGTGGCACACTGACCCAACCTGAGTCGATTCCAAATGACTTCCCCACTTCTGAACAGTGACCCAGCTACAGAAACTTGAAAGAATTGAGGTTTACATTCTTATAGCTTATCTGAGTCTCCGGTCACTTCCCACCCTGCATGGATACCACTTTTTATTGTGGACATATGTAGAAATTTAAGTTCAGAGATAGAAAATGCAAGTGGTATAAAATCTCCATCATTTACCGCAGTCTTAGCAATCTTATCAGCATCTTCATTACCTCTTATACCCACATGGCTAGGAATCCATACTAGATCCACAGTTGAACCATTAGATATTGAAGAGTGATGCAAATCGAGCGATTTAACGGCTAGAGGATGTTTTAGTGATAATTCGTTTAGGCATTGTAATGCATTTAGTGAATCTGAATATATCACCCATTTGGAAGGAGGTAGGTTGGAGATTATTCTTAGTGATTCCTTAATAGCAAAAAGTTCGGCAGAAAGGATGCTGGTGGTAGGAAGTAAGCGATATTTATAAGACATATTGTATGTAATACGGCGCATCCTGCTGCCTGGGAGAATTTGGAACCGTCCCTGTATATTATATTATCTGGTGATAGCATTAATGTTAGCTATTTAATGGCTGTGTACTATGATTGTAGATTGAACATCTTAATTTAACTATACCAATTATGTCTTTATTTTCGAGAAAATTTAGTCCAAACATAAGGAATATTTTGTTGATGCTTCACCATCAAAATCTTAAAAATAAATAAGTTTAAAAAAATGTGCTACAATAAGGATATAGTATAATCACAGGTTATACAGATTATAAACTTTGTTTTTTCTTTATTGTTTTTCGTGGTTCCAATTTTCGGAATCGGGCACTAGTTAAGTGACTAGTTTGCGCACATAGCACGCGCACACGACCGGCACAGTTATTAGAGAGATATCGGAAAACCGAATAGCGGCATGCAGTATTTACGCGTACCTTATTATGGTTACGATATGCGCGAGTCAATTTTTAACGCAACACCCGCTAATAACGTTACCGCCTGACGTAATTTGCGGATCAATTACACCAAGCGCTATTTCTAAATAACGTTTAAAAATTGCTTAAATGGGCATGTGCGGGTATTTACAACCTGGGCCGGCCGACGAGATTTTATTTTAGGTTATGTTTGAATTGTTTTGAATTATTACTTTAGTTTTATTAGGTAATCTGATATTTAAGTAGCTGGGATTAGTTTTAATTAAATAAATATGGCCCAAAATATGGATTCCACCTCTTCCAATATTAAAGAACCTATAAAGAGGCTTAGGTTTACAGCAGATGACGACTTAGCCCTTCTAAGAGAATTTGTTGCTTGTTACCCTAAACCCACAGGCAGACGTTAAACAACAAAGCACTGGAAATAAGCACTTTAGCCCTTTAGTTTTAAAATACCTAGTAAACAAAACAATTTCAAAGTTTTAAATTCAAAGTTAGGTTAAATAGCGGACGCGACGCGAACAGAATTCTTTCCGATCCGATAACTATAAATGAAGACATAACTTGTCATACCTAAAGAAAATAACACCTGGCCTTATTAACGTCCATGCACGCTATTCGGTTTAGCGATATCTCTCTATTACGCTGTTTATTGTTATTTTACGCGAGTTTATTTTTGCGCAGAGGAAATTTGACTCGTTTGCACATCGTCATAAAAAACAATTTTCGTACCACGAATTAGGGACAAGATTTTTATCTGTATACTTATAGGATACCTAATCTGTGGTATAATCGTTTATCTTTAATTTCCTTCTTCATTTGTGTAAAAATACCTAGCCAGTTTTACATAAAACGTTAAATGCCGAAAGCTTATTTTGCTACTTTTTCGAACTAGTGAATGGACTCTTAAGCGAAATTGAAAGACATTGTCAGTTCAAGAGGATATTTTATTAAAAAAAAAACGTTAAATTAAATAATTCATAAGCTTTATTCAGGAGAATGTTTTGCAAGGCCTTCCTTATGGCATCATACCTTTTCCTGGTTGGGTATTCCCCATAGACCATTACAAACGTATGTTAAGGGCACAAAAAGGCACGCAGAAAGTCAAGATACCTCTAAAACACGCATTCAACCCACTAAATATTATATTCCTTGTTATTTTCCACGTTTTATTTATTATTTCTTCGACCAAAACACCCTTTTGCAATATAGAACCATAACAACATAAATTATACTAAAATACCACGTTTTTTTACATCCAAATAATCTATTTGTCTCTTGTTTTTGTTTGTTTACCTTCACCGACAGCTAAAGACTAATATTTCTTCGCAAATTCCCTTTTTCCCAGACGATACCCAAACTGGAAAGCTTTTCCAGAAAAACAGAGTGACTTCGGACGTGTCTCTTGCGTATGGGGGGGTAAAAATGTGCGTATCTCTGTTTACCCTCAATTATTTTATCCGGTTTCTCACAGGCTTTCGCTTATTTTCAGGGCATCAACTCAAGCCCCAACATATTATACGGAGCTTAGACTTTGAGGGCTTTTTTCTGTTTGTCAAGCTCTTTAGAAAGATATAGGGATACTATTCAAGTAAAAAAGTGTTCCATTAAAAGGATCTGTCAAATTTTTATTGATTATTCTCAGAGCTGCAAGCTCAGAGAAAACTTAGGTCTTTTTTTGATTTAAATAATTTTAATGACTTTTGTAAAGTCATTTGGTTTCAAGTCATTTTTCGAAAGCTGATTTAAGACTTAATATTTAAGTATTTTTCAAAATGATTTGTGATTTAAATCTTTATTCCGAAATAGAAAAAGATTTAAGTTTTTTTAGAAAAGACTTAAGTCATTAAAAATATTTATACATACGCACATATGTAAAGGGCAAAAAGTTTTTTTTTTCAAGCAGTCAACTCAAACTTAAAAATAAAAACCATAAAACAAATTTAAAGGGCGTAAATGTTGCATAATATGATACAACTAATAATATTCAATAAATACAATACTAATAGATGGTACGTTACTAATGGTAATAGCCAACTTTGATCTAGACGCTGCAAATGGACAAATGTTGTATAGCAACAGAAGTCTTGTATGACCTGGCTACCGAGATGACCTACCTGCAATTAAAGAAAAAAACATGGTGTGAACAACAATGTTACCAGTTATTATTAAAATAAAGTGAACTTAAAATTAAACAGGTACTTGAATGATTTATGAATAGTCCAACTTAAAAATACAAGTTTAAATAAAATAATAAAATGCCACACAGGCTAGTCACACAGACTATTAAAAAAAATCTGCCACACAAGCTATCAAATGCCACACGGGCTAAAAAAACAAGCCACACAGGCTATCAAAATGCCACACAGGCTAAAAAACATGTCACACAGGCTAGTCACACAGACTATTAAAAAAATATGCCACACAGGCTAAAAAACAAGCCACACAGGCTATCCAATGTCACACAGGTTAAAAAAATACAAGCCACACAGGCTATCAAAATGCCACACAGGCTAAAAAAATACACAAGTCAATAGTCAAACTACACTACGGGACTAACTACTCTTCAAGGCTAATTACGCTACGGGTCTAATTACTTGTCAAGGCTAACCACGCTACAGGACTAATTAATCTTCAAGGCTAACTATAGAAAATAATAAAGTAAAATAAAAATAATTCAATCAAGATCAATTTGATAATATTAATACACAAATATATTCTTATCTTCTGTTAAATCACATAGACAAATATAAATAACTCACTATAAAGAAATACTTCAATATTATCATCTGCAAATTATCTTTTCTTTATATTCAATCAAATATCTTAAAATTTATCAGAGATTCAGAAATTTAATATATCACAATAAAAACAATAAACAGTAACCAAC